ATATCAAATAGTTAAAACAAAAAATTGTTAATTTGTTTAGAAAAAATAAAATAAATTGATTTATCAAAAAAAATTCGGTTCTTATTTGGTTTTTCGGTTCTAGATCTAGAACCGAGAACCGAACCAAAATTTTTCGGTTCTTCGGTTCGCGGTTCTTCGGGTTTTTAAGTTAAGAAAACCCGCTCGGTTCGGTTCGGTTCGGATCCGGTTCAGTTCAGTTCGGTTCGGACATTTTGCCCAGCCCTAGCAATGAGCCTTCTTTAAAAACATTTGAGTTTGATCCTGCTTTGGGGTGTATTACAGCAAAATTTGGTAAAATATAAAATCATTATGATTTTTTGAGATTTTGAGATAATTTTAAAAGAGTAGTGCTTGGATTCATTGGAAGAGGTGGAGTATTTTGTGTTTGGTTGGAGAAATCAGTTTTGGTTATTGTTGAAGAGCCAGTTCATTCCTTGGTGGAATTCGTGTTAAGGTGGAGATTGTTAAAATTTGGGTGTGACCCGAATTCCTTGTTGAAGTAATTGAAGAATTCTAATTGAAGTGCACGTCAAGGAGAATTCAAGTATGGAATGCAATTGGAGTCCTATGTCAAGTTGAAGTTCTATTTTGGAAACCCATTAGGAGTTGGAATTTGTTTTGGACTCGATTTTTTGGTATCTTAAGTTATCAACAACCTACTATGAGGGTTTGGACATCCCCTACACATTCCTTATAAATATTATGCTCTTCTATACAATTTTAAAAGTGTGAGAAAATAAATTACTAGAATTATATGATCCATTGTAATTTTCTCTCTTATCTATTATTTTTTAGTCAATAAAATCTCTTAATTCATCTGCCATATTCTAATCTTTATTATTCTTTTGTTTGAACATATATTTCATTATTATTTGTCATATAACTTTAACATCTCAATCCGGTGATTTATTTCACAACAGAGGTGATGATCGAGGCACCTATAGACGATATGGAGATGACGAATGCAGAAGAAGGTGACATGGATGACCTTAACCTGCTAACTATCAAGTCGGAATCACGTTTCTTCGATCAAGAAACTCAGAAGTGTACCTGTAAACTGAGATGACATCAAAGTACTCCAGATCGAAAATAACTTCGTTTGAGAAAATGATTAAGGAAGTGGAAGAGTTTTCGAAAAGAAACCTGAATGTTTTCACATGGAGGGACAAAGACATGGTGGAGATTGATATGAAGTTGTTACATTACACCTCGAAAAAATGATCCTAAATTCCGTCCCAACAAGTAGAATATGAGACCCTCAACCTAGAGAGACATGCATTCTTAAAACAAAAGGTAGCAAGCTGATATCAAAATAGTTTTATTTGAGAGGCACATTATTCGAGCTAGGTGGTGAATCCAATCATCGTCCTAAAGCCTAATAAGAAATGACGAACATGCATAGAATTCTCGGATTTGAGTAAAGCCTATTCAAAGGATCGAACTTCATGGATACTCGGGTTACAATCAAATTCCTATTTATAAGATGGACAAAGAACACACTTCATTCATAACCATCAAGGTGTGATGCCCTCTGGAGAATGTTGAGGTCACCTACTAGTGGTTGGTCAATTGGATGTTCGCTGATCATCTTAGAAAATCATGGAAGTATATGTAGACAATATGCTAGTGAGAAACGTGTAGGCAAGTGATCCTATAGCCAATCTCAAAAGAAAATTCTAAATTCTCCAACAATATTAGATGAAGCTCAATCCACTGAAGTGTGCTTTTGAAGTCACCTCGAGCAAGTTTCTAGGATTTATGGTCAATGAAAGATAAATTAAGGCCAATCTCGACAAGATTACAGCTATACTGGAGATGAAGTCTCTCCAAAAGACGAGTCTAGTGCAGAGTCCAATTGGAAGAACAATTGCCATTAGTCGCTTCATTTTGAGGTTCCTAAACAAATCTCTCTTTGACATCCCGTTCTAATTGAAAACTGCTATTAAAGATCAGATCATAGCAGACTTTGTTACATAGTTCACTGAGGTACTTGTAATGCCCATGTATGTCGAAAGACCTGAGTTAATCGAGCACATGTGATGGAAGTTATTTAATGACGGCTCACTCGGAGAGATTGGGTCAGGATCAGCGATGATCCTAATAAGTTCGAAGGTGCATCATTTGAATTGCACCCTAAAGTTCAATTTTCAAGCCTCAAGCAATGTGGCAGAGTACGAAGCACTGATAACTAGAGGCTATAAAAACAAATGACTATCATTACACCAGAGTTTATATCTGCAATTCAATAAAAATACGTAATATGTTAGTCTATTAATTGTCAAAAGTGAAAATTACAGACAAAAGGCAACCTAAATTATTATTGAAAAGACTTTAAGCAGACAGAAAATGACTTTCTGTAGTTTAAAACATGTGTTTTATTTAAATTCATTTAAAATAGTATAATTCAATAAAACAATGGAGGGATGACTAATTTGGAAACAACTACATCAATAATACCATTAACAATATAAAGAGTGTACCCCAGCAATAGAAAAATGGTACTATAGAAAAATGACACCCAACTACAGAAAAACGGCACACACATACATAAAAATGGAAACATTTCATTTTTATATTGAACTGCTAATTTTGGTTACCCAATTGTTTTTTCATATTCTGAAAGTATAATACAATCAGTACAACTAAAAAATAACAAGAAATCGTTAATTTTCAAATTACAAATCATTCCTTCAAGTCTTTGGAATCGATTCTTGCTCGCCCACTTTCAAAATCTGCATCGTTTGATTTATTTTTGGTTCAAATACGTAACTTTAGATATGTAATCATTTATTGCAACGAATTTTATGGATAATGCATATGAAGAAGATAAATTAGAGTTTGAAGGTGGATTTAGGATATGAAAATGGGTTTGAAAATGTGAGAACGAAGGGAGATTTAGAAGAATTTATGGTTGGGGAATCTGGTAAATTTTGATATTAAATTGGATATTTTAAACATTTCAAGTGAAGGGTATTAATGCTTTTAACACATAATAAAATAGACTAAGGTCCTGTTTGAGCCACATTATTTTTTCATTTTAATTTTTTTACTCATTTTTAACCACACATTCTTCAATAAAATAATATTTTCCATCACATCAATAACTTTTCTTTCTTTTTCAACTACATATTCCACATCACATTAACAGTAAAAATGCATTATTTTTCCAAAAATGTGCACCAAACGGGGGCTAAAAAATAGTAAACCTATGAATGATATAATACAAAAGTACATTAAATAAAAATGAAGTAAATGTGCACCAAACGGGGGCTAAAGGCTATTTGACCAATACTAAAGATTATTTTTTTTACTTTTTTTAAAGCAAAATCCCCTTTTTAAAAATAATGCAACATATTTCCTTCCCCACTCATTCAAACTTTATTGTATAATTATTTCAATGTTTGATAGGTTTTGCTTTATGCTTTGTCTTTTAAATTTTTATTGTGTTTAGAACATGTTTACAGATTGTTTAAATTATAAATAAATGAAATAAGAGATGACTAAGTGAATAGTATTGTGGATCTATTGAAATGTGAAAATAAAAAGTGGATTGAGTGTTTCTAAGCATAATCCAAACATGGATGTTTTTAAGTCTCTAGAAGAAGACACACCTCTCCTAGCTATATATCTTTGTGTAGTATTTCCGCCAGCTAAGCCTTTTAAGCTGTAAAATAAAGTCTTTACGCGTTTAGGAAAACATATTTGTTAAATACAATATATAATTAATTAAACGTGTCTAAATATGTAGAAGCTTTCCTTTGTTCAAAAATTGGACTGGCCTATTCAAAAGTAGGCTGGACCGGTCTGGTTTGAGTCAATTTGGTTGTTTTGTTCTTTTATTTTTAAAGGGAAAATTACATAAATCCAGATGTTTAAATTTCAAAGTGCAAAAATCAGGTATGAAAATTTTTTAATCAAAATTCAGATATCGAATTAATAATTAAATATTATACCCATCAAATCTCTAATTTTATTTCATTTCTCTATCTTCGGCAACCGGCAACGAAGGAGATGTGCGGTGGTGGGGTAACTTTTGTGGCCAATTATTTACCACTTCCCCATTCTTCTTCGTTCCGGCGCCACCCTTATCTATGGCGGCTTTCATTATGCTATTCTTCGACTCAATTTGTCCAAGAATCGACTGATGGGGACGTCGCAGATGTAAGGAATAGGCTCAACGTGGTGAACATTCTCAAAGAGAGAGGCTTTCTCGAGTCCCTCACCAGCGATTCTCTCAGGACCACCTGTTCTGACCCCAGCCTCCCTACCATTAGGGTGTACCGTGGGTTCAACCCTACTTCTAAGAGTCTCCATTTGGGTAACCTCCTTGGTATAATAGTCCTTTCTTGGTTCCTCCGATGTGGGCATAGGGTTGTCGCTCTTGTAGGTGGTGCCACAGGTCGTGTAGGAGATCCCTCCGGCAAGAGCTTTGAGCGGCCTGAGCTTGACCTTCTCGCCCTGGACAGGAATGTTTCGGGATTTTGACTGCTATTAGCCGGATTCTGGGTCGGAATCACAGAGCTAAGTGTTTTGCTATTTTGAATAATTATGACTGGTGGACGGATGTTAAGCTACTGGTGGGAGCGGTGGTGGGATAACGTTTGTGACTAATTATTTGGTTAATTTGTGACCAAGTATTGGTGCTGGATCGGGAACGGGGGTGGGGTGTTTGGTGTATGTGACCAATTATTTGGTTTATTTTGACTAACCATTAAACTGTGACCTTAAAATTCTATAATTTGTGACTAAAAAATAATTTGTGACCAACAAATTTGAAAATATATGATTGATAGATAAACCGTTACCTATAATTTTTTTGATCTGTGACCAATGAAATAAATTGTGACTCATAAAATTTTTGATTTGTGACCTCGAAATAATTTGTGACCAATAAATAAATTGTGACCTATAATTATGTATACGTGACCATTAATTGTATAATTGTGAATTTATTATATTTAAATAATAATTATTTAAGTTGTGACCTATAATTATGTACATGTGACCATTAATTGTATAATTGTGAATTTATTATATTTAAATATAATTATTTTTAATTAATTAACTAAATACCCGAGTTTTGCATTTTTTTAAACTTAATACTTGATTTTTGCAATTGTGAAACCTAATGCCTGATTTGTGAACTCTTCCCATTTTTAAATAAACTTATTTCTATATCAAAATTTGATATTGAAATTACTCTATCATGCTTGCCTTGTTAACAGGGATGGGGTCCCGATTGTTATTTTTTATATTATTTTACATTTTACAATGTAAACGTAATTAAAACTATTTTTTTTTTGTAAATGTGTATAAACAAGTAAATGGAAATTTTTAATCTACGCTTGCCCTGCCCTATTTCGTTGGCATAGTTCCTTTGTGCGTTCATTGCTTCCTTGCCCATGTAAGGGCCCACATTATTGTGTTGATTTTCCATACTAGAGGTCGAGATTTTGAAGCGCTCTAATGCTCGTGCTGCTCTGCCTGCCTTAGCTTGATTTCTCGACCTCGCTCCATGGTTAGATAAGGTGGTCTTCTACTTTCAATCACTCTATACGAACCTTCCTGCTGACTTTCGTAGGTTGAACATCTTGAGTACCTCATTACATTCATCTGTATTGTGATCCTTTGAGCGATGAATTTTACAGAACTTCGCCATTTGATTCCCAAGGGAGGGGTGTTCCCCGCCTATGGCCTATGGAGGGGGCTAGAGATATTACATGCACCCTGCCTTTCGGTTCATCGAAACACAAGTATTGCTGCTTTGGCAATTTAAAGGGATATGCCGTGGTTTTACCTTTGAGATTTTCTGTGTGAACTTGTTTTATCTTCTTTCGATTGACGATGGTGTCCTCTATCTGGATCAACTTACCAATTGATGATAGGAGGTTGTGTTTTGGTTGCTGACATCTCATCAAAGGGAGTCTCCATTAGTAGATCATTCCACAAGGTGTCTTTAGCCTTTTCATTTGATATAATCTCACAAGCAATTAATTCAGCATTGAATCGTGCAAAATAGCTTTTGTGGGACTATCCTTCTTCCAGCCTCATGTCATTCAATCGTGTAGTCGGTGCCTGTCCCCAATCTACTCTTGACTATTACTCCTAAGAATACTTGCTTTAGTTGTGGCCAGCTTCCAATTGACCCTATTGACAACTTACATCGTTTAGTAAATCCATCCAAAGTTAAGTGGTAACCTTGGCACTTAAGTGTGGGGCTTACCATTTTCAGCTTTGTCTGTGTCATATACTCGAATAGATGATACATTGGATCTTCTTTTTCATTATACTTCTCTATTATGGGGCAAATAAAGTTATTTGAAATTGGCATTTCTTTGATCTCCTTTGAGAATGGTAAATATTCATCATCGTCATCCATCTCATGTGATTTTGTAGATTGACCTTTATACTCATCAAACAGAAAAGTGTTGTATCAAGTATTGACAAGGCCTTTTTCTTTTCGGCCTCTCTGTCAATAATACTGGTTAAACCGCACGTCGTGCAATCTTACTTCGTCTATAAGCTTATTCGAAGTGAATTTACCCTCACATCATTCCTTTAGTTTCCTCTCCAGTACACTGTCATCGGTTCATTTGCAACCTGCTACTATTTTAATGGAAAGATCTAATAGCATGCACCATTCCATTTTTATTGGATTCACCATGCCAATTTTTTTTTAATTATCAATTTTTGCGCACAATGATGCATTTTCTACCGTTAATCCTTCAGGCTCTCAACCATTTCCTAGATCATTTTTTCGATACACATCTTTTTCGTAAGTGAGAATGTTGAGCGGGAAAAATATCGGCTTGCACTTTTGTCGGTGTTTCCTTCCATTGCCGGTTCGGATTCGCGTTGCTATCCACCGAATCATTACTACTGTATAATCAATTTCAATTTTTGGCACTATTTTTTTCTCCTGGATTCATTTCCATTTGAATTATTTCTACGGATTATAAGCGTTTTTTAACTCTATCAGAGATTTTTGTGGTTTACTTTACTCAAGTTTCACATAGACGATGCCAATTTGTTGACGATATGAATCGAACCCGGGTACGGGATCAGCATGGAAATAGCGGAATAAATTGAAAACGCTGGGAAAGCCCAAATTCAGTAGACGGTAGAATCTCGACCCGCAAATTATTGAACCAAGCAACCAAACAAAAACAAAGTTTGAATGACCTCTTGATTACAAAACCAACGAATCACGATTTGCGAATGCCACAAATGGTGCTTAATCCTTTGATAAGTTCTAAGGTTTGAACGCCACAAATATAAAAATATTTGACAAATTCGGTACATGTTTAATCAAGAACGAAAAGAGAGAAATCTCATTTAATTTATAATGTCAAAAAGGTTCTTAGTTTTACAATGAAATAAATTTTCTATTTATACTAATGCTAGAAACCCTAACAAAACGTAATTAGTCATAGAATATTCTCAAAGTTGGAAATAAAATAGAATCCTAGACTACTAAGGAAATTTTGCGAAAAAGGGAAAATTTCGCCAACTTGTTCTCGGTATGTTTCTGTGCGATCACAAGTCCAAAAGTATCATGAGCCCGTGAAACCTTATGCAGAATTTTGTGCCATTTTCGGAATGTACTCATGGGCGAAAATCCGACAACCGAGCTGAAAGTGATTCCCGTTTTCATCCACGCTGCTGTTTTCTTTCCAAATATCTTCCAAATTTTGAATCCAACTCGTTTCGGCTCCCGAGCCCTTCATGCAACTTGAACCTTGACTTTTCAACTTCTTCAATTTGGACTCCAAAACTTGACCAAGTGATTGCCTATGCCGGATCATATCATCCCATCTCTCTTTGAAAGGATTCGTCCTCGAATCCGTGCCTTGTGAACGCGTAGGGGATAACCAGCTTGCTACACAACTCATCACTGCACCATCTGGATCAAATGAAAAAAAGTTTCTTCCATGGAATAGGATCAATATGCAGTACCTATCCATTTTGTAGGTATGAATGTATTGCAGCACAAACACAATCACCCATAGATGTTGTTGTATGAACTCCCACGTGCAACAATCTACCTAAAAGAAAGAATTAAGCAAAACACGGTTGAATTTGTTAGCTTCCCCCTCAATGAGATATGGTCATCGTACTCATAATGCATCGTCTCTACCATATCATGTTTAACAATGGAACTCTGCTCTTTATTCCCCACAACATTTTCAACCATTTGCTCAACACATTCTGCTATTATTTGCTTACTCTCTTGCTGAACAATCTCTACAATTTTTGTATCAGCCTACTCGTGCTCCAGCTCATTAATTGGTTCACTGTCCCCAATATCAACTGCATTTTTCAATCC